CCACAGTCCTTACCTCTTCAGGAACATAATGTTTCTCTGGTAATTCATCATATGCAATATCAACATCTACAACTTCCCTAGATTCAAGCGTCTCCTCATCTAATTCAAAGCACTTGAGACAGAAAGAAGGCATTAGTTTTAATTAGTAGTTACTCCTTAAAGATGAATTGTCAACCAAAGCTTAATATTTTGATGCACCATTACTTTTCTCAGCTAAATATTAGTCTTAACAACAACCCTGCAAAACCTCGCCACCCCAGTTTAATAATCTACTTCTTGTGGAGAGTTCCAGCTACCAATGCTAAATATCAAAAGGCCAATGTTTGAACCCTGCAGGCAGGCCAATTCCTACCAGAGCTGCAGCAGTGCAGAGCTTCATTTGAAAGCACTGCTACATCATGCCGATAAGACCTGAGACAGTTGTAAAAACTGTGTGCAGCTGCCAATTGGTGAGCAGTTATTTTTTAAGTGTTTAATTAAAAGGCTACGAGTTGTTTTCACCAAATGCCACACAGGTCTAAGGGCAATTTTGAGGCTACCAATATACATTCTAGCGCACATGTCTTTTTTCTAAATATTTTGTGTTTTAAGTTTTTAGTCAAACCATTGTAATAGTAATAGTAATAATTTATTTAATGTTGAAAACGCGGGAAATGTTATTGTTAACTGTTCCTGTTCTCCTTTTTTGAAAATATATTGCAAAAATGAACAAAGGTTCTAAAAATACATACATTTTCTATACTCCCATTGTCATTGTAATATTTTGTTCTTATTCTAATTGAAAATCTTGGAAGAAAGGAGCACTGCAAACAGAAAAAATTGTAAAGAAGTTATTTATTTTACATTTATTTATTATCACTATAATTATTTGATTAACATTTATTTAATCACACACAACACTTGCATGACCTAAATTTATGTTACATTACGCCCTACAACACTTTACCTAACCCTGCAAAATTGTACTTCTCTTCTACATACAAAGCTTCAATGTGTCAGTCGACTGACACTAAAGGGGGCCTTTTGAGGGTTTTGCTTATCATTTCAATTTGTTTTCCTGTCCTAGAGAATAAAAGTTACATTCAGTTATCGCTGGTACAGGTCTATATTTACCATCTAGGATTCAATGATTATCAAAAGAATTATTAAAATATTCATTTTTATTCCACACCCTTATGTCATGATTATGGATTCATAAACTCTAATGACTTTGTTTTAAAAATAGCACATTTACCATTAATGTCTTCTTATTTGTAACGATATTATTGCTAAAAAATAATAATGTTACATTTTGATGAATACTCACACAATATTCTGTACATGGCATTGAAGTAATGGAGTGTGCATAAAAAGGAAAGAAAACACAAAATTAGTAGTACATGTACATGATTTAAACATATGCTGTTAAACTATTATCCAAGCTTTTCTGCAGTCCAGGGAAAAGAACGTTCATATGGGTAATTAAATGGTGAAGAGGAAAATTACAAAATAATTTCATGCTCATTTTGTCAAAATTTTAATAACTTTCGGAGACTTCAGGCAAAGGAAATTTCTAGCATTTTGACAAAATGCTAGTGCAATCATTTTTTTTTTAATTTCACAAGCATGCAATTTGATTAATATCGCTGGTGACAAATTATGCTTTCAATCATGAGTTTTTCACTTGTTTCTTGTATCAAGAAATTACAAGCCTAACATTGCCATGGCAATTTTGTAATTTCACATGTGAAATTATAAATTAACACTAGTCTGATATTTCACACCAGAATAGGGAGTAAATTGTCACCCATGATATTACCACGATAACAACCTTGTCAGGTGGTAACAGACAAGTGATCAAAACATTGACTGAAAATTTTATGCTTGCACTAACCTGTTATTGTGTAAGGGTAATAATTCCACGCCTTTTCTTCTACATAGAATATTTTTGGAATATAAGATCGCATCCATCCAGGAAGACGGCTGTGGAGAGAAGCTAACGATCAAGTTCCATTTTTTACAATCCTTGGTAACACCCTACACTTCAACTCAGTTAATCTCCCAGACAATATTCTATCAATCAACAACACAACTGTACGAGACATTTGTGTTGTCTTGCAGTGATGGGGACCTCCCATTGCAGGACCCCCTATATAGATGTAGATGTTTGTTATATATGAAATCGGCAATTTCTGGACAAATATTATTTGTGTAAATGTATGCATACCCAGGGAGAATTTATTTCTGACTCAGTTATGAGTTGTTTGGTTATCACTAGGTGAATGCAACAGAAAACCTACATGTAATAATTTTTTTCTTCCGAAACTCGCGCAGAAATTTTCTAAAGATCAAATGATGCCAACGGAGCAACCTCCTCAGAAATGACTATACCCCCAGCATTTATTTTGCGGCTACACATTTATGTGTCTGTGTGGATAGGGGTACTGTGAGAGTAAACAGTCTAACTTGTAGTCCAGCAAAACAGCACTAACCCAGGCTACTCTAAGCTTTCAGTGCACCATACATTATGCACTTAAATCCACAAGACTTACATTACCATACAAGACTTTACCTCACCTGGATAAATAAACCCTCTTTTCTGTGAACTGTCCTTTGCCATGTTTTTCATCCTCACATGGTTCATTTTTCACCACATGGACCCCTTCACCTTGCTCACTTTGATCATGGCTGTGTTTGCTAATCATGTATAGCTGACCTATATGATACTAAATATATATGCATTATCCAATTAATAGTACATTCAATAGCCAATCAGAACTTAACTTTTTCTATCATGATTAATACAGAAGTATTTCATCGCCAGGCTTAACTAAGTCTCTTTCCCTTGCTGATCCTCTCAAAACACACAATGGAGACTGCTTAAAGTGGGGAGGCTTTTTGGGGATGGACTGGGTATTAATGTAGAGGTTTTATAATAATCTACAGTACCGGTACATGTATTAAAGTGGCAGATATGATTTATTTTTTGGTGGTTGGTTTAAGGAACAATGGGCTTCTGTCGTAATGTCATTGTTTTACTCACACATTAATGAAAGATCACTGATAGATGGTTTAAGTATCAGTTTGGAGTGGAATTGATCACAATACTTTAGCAGAATCCAAGTTGATTAAAAGGAAGTAGCACAATTTTTGAAATGGTACATTTTCGTGTTTTAAACAGTCAGGACACAAGCTATAATTTAATTAAACACATAATTTACATGTGCAATATTTCGTGTAAAATAGAACGCTCCGAAACAATATTACATCTTTATGGCTGGCAGAAAATGCTATTTGCGTAGGGAATGGTAACATTTTCCATAAAGGAAGCTGTTAATTACCAAAATCAAATTAACTGAAACTCGAGATAGGGACGACCTTTCAAAACGCACTTTTAAAGGAAAAAAAAAACAGCCAATAATAAAAATATCAAAATGTAGCGTACTCGAATTAAGTAGTAAAACAATGCAGATTTTGATTCCAATTGTGCCAGAGGCAATCGATGTTGGAAACGATATGAGAGAATAAATTCAAACATCCATCTATAGTCACGAATAACAGTTTTCGCCTCTTGGGCAAAAGTACGGCCAAACACGATGACCTTTAGGCTTGCGTTATTTGAAGATTACATCTCCGGTGGCTTTTCTCAACAGTGATCGCTGATGGAGGCGAATAATGACACAGCGGATCCATTTCACTTACATCATAAACTTAACCCGTATTTACAGCCGCCAAAACTCAATTAATTTATCAATAGCAGCCACTGCTTTAATATTGATAGGATTTCACGAATCCACATTCCCGCCTTCTATACACAGGTACCTTGCATACGAACATAACCTTTCAAAACGGTGCAATAAGCTTACTTCTCTGTTAACCGCAGCAAACTTATGTAGAAATCCTTAGCTAACATCATCCCGGCATCATGTACCACTAAACACTCAAATAACAAATAACTGAATTACATAGAATTCTCGATCTTGCGTCGATTTCGCAGCAATATCATATCAATCGAATTGCTCGATCGCGGCATCCTCCAAATTAACTTATCTCTACTGCTTTACAGCCAAATGAATGATCACGAGCAGGTAACTACTGCGAGCACGCGAACAAATTTTCGATTTCAATTCGGTGCCTAACTTGTGAACACACATCAAGAAAGCTAGGAGTAAAAGGCAAGGTCCAATCTCGAATTTCTTCAAAACGTACACGCGATCCATGGATCTGATGTTTAGTTAGTGTCGTGTTTGTGTTGTCATAAATTTCGCATGCATGCCGGCGAAGTTTTCATGATGTCAAAGCCAAATTTGACATGGTTTACCTAGATCTGAGCTTTTAAACATACCTCCTCCACTGTCATCGGCATACAGATCCTGTACTCCTTCAATATCATGTTTGCTAGGGTAAGAAGAAAACACACGGACAAATGACCTTCAGAGTTCTACTATTAATATAACACTTTCACTCCGCAGCTCGTAAACAACCAAAATGACGATTGTTAATAATTTTTTTCAACAGCTTAGGTGCCACGCCTTGAATTGAAGGAGTCTGGATCGTGAAGTGTGAAACCAGGGGCCCTATTAAAACATCTACTAACTGATTACTTTGACACCGTCCACACTAGTATTACGTCGGAAGAATTTGAAAACACAGCTTTATTTCAACGGTTAGGCCTACCGCCCACAATAATCCGCCACGAAAACGGAGCTTTTCAAAAACGCTTTTCAGATCGGAGGAATTTGAAAACGCCGGCTTTTCGGTTTCGTGTGGGCGGGAAACAAGTTGAAAACGGAGCTTTTCGAAAACGATAGCGTCACGGTAATCATGCGATTTCCCTGACCAAGGTTTCTGCAAACATAAATCCAAAATGACCGGTGATTGCCATGTGTTTAAATTCCTCCGGCGTAGCGTGGATGGAAAACATTTGATGCGTCTTCAGAATGAAACCTCCTCCAGCGTAGTGTGGACGGGGCGTGAAACTGTTTAGCAGACTTTTTCGTTTAAGTAATTCGTTTGTTTTCATGTTTAACTACTCTATGAAACTGGGACACCACACTTCAATCAGATCATTGCGCATGACAAAGTACTGCTCTCACGAACAAGTGACTGCCACAAGGAAGTGGTCAAGTTCCTTTATGTGAAGCAAAATAAAAGCTAGCCTAGATAAACTAGTTGCAAACAACGTTTCGCCGTCCTCGTGACAGAACTGTCAAGTTCAAAATGACAGTGTCAAAAGCGGTGAAGTACGTCTTTATGAGTGTAATTAAGGTAAAGTAGAAAAACCCTAATTATGTTCATAAATACTTCACCGCATTTGACAATGATATTTTAAACTTGAAAATACTGTCAACTATAAAGCTACAGGCAACCGAATCAGGCAAGTGAACATATTAAACCAAAGGAAATTTTTACGTTCATTCTGTGAAACTTAGCGAAAGGAAATTAAAAATTTAATTACCAACAAAACACACAAAGCACATTAACATCTGCAAAACGACTTTTAGACAAATTAAGCGTGAGGAAAACTTTATCGAAAAAGTGCAAGGATGATAACAACAGCAATATCTTTATTTTTCAGATAAATTCCATACCAAAAATTCAATAAAAGTATATTTTATTTGACAAATAAAGAAGCTTAAGCCGTGTATTACACTGTCATAAAACACGACGGGCAACACGAGAGAAATGTAGAAAACACGAGCCGCAGGCGAGTGTTTTCTTCATTTCTCGAGTGTTCTCAAATGTCTGGAGTGTTTTATCACAGCGTAATACACGGATTAGGCTTCTTCATTTGCTTTATGATATAGAACTAGTATGGCGAAAAACAATAAAACACGCTTTTTCTATGTTATACTTTGATAAATTAAAAACATGGGGTTTTGACCAATCAGAGCGCGCGCAGGGTCCTATGTATCTATATTATAATGTGGGATAAAATTTTGCCAGCATCGGCTGTAATACCGTTTTTCAAGAAAGTTCTTTACCAGTCTATTACCGCGACGAACGCTTGATATTTGTAAAATAATGATCGAAGCCCTTTGCGTTGTCATAACAACCATTACAAAAGTGAAGTAAATGTCATCAATACCATGATCGCTCGCTGTTTAGACACATTGCTAAATCAATGGCTTCGTTACTGTTGGCTAACCTGACAAGGAATTGAAAAGAAGTTTCTATGGCCGGCACTGATCCGACTCGTCTGTTATCTCCACTACTCTTATTCTGTCATAACCATTTTCTCCATGTAATTCTATTTCAGTATTTTCCACGATTTTCCAGGATCTTTCAGTTCTACAAAATAGTGATAATGAGCGAAAACAGTCACAAACTCACAGCCACAGCAACACGCTTCCTCATCTTTTATAGTCCAGTGACGGGCGAATGACTTGTACTTCCCATATAAGCTCATATAGTCCATATTTGGGCAAAGCTATTTGCTATACAAAAAGCCACACCCTTTCATTCCCGGGTATAGTTTGCACAAGCTAAGTGACCCCAAAATAAATTAAAAGTAAGAGACGAACCAGGATACATATTTCACAATACCAAAAACAATTTTCGTCAAAAAATTTCTGTTTTCAAAATCTCTCCATGTTATTCTTTTCCATTAAAGTCCCCGAAAAATGTTGTGTTGGCAGTTTTCATAATAGAAAATAAATAGCTGCGTCTTATTTCATTATCGAGCCTTGACAAATTTTCCCATCGCGAACTAGCAGCTTGTCAAGGCTAAAATAGTCAACAGCAAATCTAATGCGGGTGTCTGTGCCTCGCTTTGCACTTTATAAGAATTTTCCAATATAAGAACTGCGATTAGAACTCACTTTTAATCATTTATATATCATTTTATAAAGCAAGCAATTTTTTCCTTCATATTCACCGTCATTCTGATATGACTTTCATCGTGTTTGAATTTAACTGTGCTATTTACAGTTTTCTTGCGTCATCTTGTTTGTGTTCATACAACCCGCCGCAGTATTACTCAAGGTTCTTGTAACAATGAATATACAGAATGCGTATACATAAGTTGTGTGTATAACTGGGATGATCATTCATGTCTTCATATCTTCCTCCACAGTTCAAATATATGATCTTTCATCTATTCACTTATATTCTTCACCATCTACGGGTATATTACGAACTCACTAAGTGACCAACTCCCAGTTGGCTTGATAACTCGGTTGGTAGAGCACTACACCAGTATCGCAGAGGTCATGGGTTCGAATCCCGTTCAGGCCTGAATTTTTTTCAGGCCTTAATGTCATAACTGCTTAAGTTGTGTGTATAACTGCGATGATCAATCATGTCTTCATATACAGAAGGCGTGGTAACAACAACAGTAAATATGGAGAATACAGCAGCATAACAAAGCCGGTCTCTACTATGAGTGCGGTGGGCGGCGACGTTCAGTTACGACGGGATATGTTGCGCAGTAAATTCAAGACAGCTTGTCGAATGTGTCTCATCTTCCAGCAGTAAATTACAGGATTTAAGGATGAATTAAGAAACACAAGAGTAGAAGAGAAAAGAAAAAATCGTTTTATAGCGATACTCGGGTTGTCGACTGTTTGAATGGCGACCAAACAGATAAACAAAGGTAAATAACAGATCAAGAACACGATATATACGTAAAATATACCGACTGCAGATTTAATAAGGCAGGCAAAACTTGTCATTTCACCAGTGTGTGCTTCTTGTTGAATTTGCTGAGCCTGAATCTGATTCTTGTGGCGTCGAACGACTAAATACACCTTGGTATAAACCACTGTTGTAAGAAGAAGACCAGCAGCTCCACCAAGGCATAAAACCGTCAGTTTGACGTTGGACGCAACCCACAACGTTATCAAAGAAAAATTCGTACTTAGCACCCATGTCGAGATAACCATAGCAACTACATGCTTGTAAGTAACGAGCTCCTGATATCTGAGATGAAACTGAATAGCCAACAACCTATCGACGCCCACAGCCACAACACTCGAGAAAGACGCTGTTGGAAACAAACCATTACCATGTCAAAAATCTTGAAAGTATTACAGCTGGGATTTTCTTGTCGTAACGCTTTTGCCAGAAGATATATGTAAAATGGCTGGGCCAACAAACCGACACAAACATCAGAAACTGCAAGGTTCACGAGCAATGTTTTCAAAGTCTTCGGCAGCAACGAGGCTTTGCTTATAGCACAGATTGTTACAATGTTGAACATGAAGACGTTGTACCATAGAAAACTGTTCTAGACACAATTAGCGATGTACGTTGAACGGAACTCTTCAATTTCGGAGATTAAGGGGAAGATTTGTGCAATCAATACTTCACAAGATGATTTCTTTATGATATTTCTTCATATAAACGTTTTACGTACAAAGCGTTTCACAGAGCTAAGATACACGCTATGTAGGTGTTAAGATGATATGTGAAATCGATTGTTTTTATAGCACTTGTGAATTAACATAACATTTGCAATTAATATCTTCAGCGTTGATTGCAATTACAATGGTCTTCTCAAAAGTCCTTGGGTGTGAAGTAATAATGTGTGTGTATTAATCTGTTCCTCTTTCGGTGCCAGACAAACTTGATTACTCTTGTCTGCTTAAATTGTTTCTCCTGCTAATAATGCAACTACTGTGAATACTCGCTTCTGATTGGTTGGAAGCGGATCAATTTATCCCAGATTGTATCGATAGCTGAACAATTAAATTTTATTTGTATCGCATCTGAGCAATAGAGTCAGCTCAAAAGAAAGAAAGAAATTATTTTGGCGAAAATTTTTTGGAGAATTAAATTTGGAAACTTAAATATTTAATCACAGCGTGGCTTTAATTTAGCAACTCTCTGTGATAGAAGCTTGTATTTACGACGGCAGCCAAGAGTGGAAATTACTAAAAGGTCAGATCTGTTCAGGCGTACAATTAATCCCTAATTGTTTTTCATGATCAAACAAAGATTCCCTCAACTAAACCTGATGATTTCCCTTAAAGGAAAATTTCAAACGACCAAGAACTCGCTCTTTTTGATTTTTAGTGGCACTTTTCACAAATCCCAATTTGACAAAGAAACTTTAGTTTATTGCATGTGATGTGTGTCGACCAAATTGGTACAGTCATAAACTGGTCGGAATAAAACAAAGACGAAAACATAACTGACCAGGAGATCACGATGTACATTTGTTAAAACAGAAACATCTGTCTCAAATTTGATTTTTACCGAAATTGTAAGAGTGTTTCCGTCCAGTTAAGGCAAGTCGGATACGTATTTCTCGTATCTATTCAGTTGTAAACTTGTAACAAGAGAAGATGAAGAGTAACTGAGTGAATCCTCCATACAGGCCTCATTTCTAAGGTAATACACTCAAACTGTTTTCAGATCACTCCCATTTTGAAAATCCCAACGCAGTCTAGAAATAGCCAATTCTATGAGACGAACAGGTCACGAAGTTTGCTCTCGTGTACAGCCCAAGCGACTTAACACGAATTTCATCTTCCACAAAAGCATCCACCCAACCCGCGTGGTAACATTATCCGAGGAATAACTGGGTACCATCTCTTAAAATAACTTGAGATGGATTACTAAGGAAATAACGCCTATATTAGAAATTAACAATTTTATCCCTCATCCTCTCTTGACTGTCAAACTCGTTCTCTATAGATCTTGACTGTAGAAATACCTTATTTAATTAACGGAGCAGATAAAGGAATACTACATGCTGGGTGGCGCCATATACAAGGGTAATTGACCAAGCGTGAAGCCAAGATATATGGGTTATTGACCAAGCTTGTTCGGTCAAGATGGCTGGATATTGGTCAAGTTCTTTTTTTGCAAGTTTATGGACCTCGACTCCGTCTCGGTCCATAAACTCGCAAAAAAAGAACGAGGCCAATATCAAGCCATCTTGACCAAACAAGCTTGGTCAATAAAGAATTTATTACATGGCGAAAAAGACGGAGACACAGTCAAGTAAACTTATGTCTGTGGCAACCATGATATGGAACAAATCTCTTTCTCAATGCTTTGTCCTAGAAAATTCAAGAGAAAAGCCCTGGTAACGAGGTTGGTTATGGAACGAGACACAGTCAGGGTCCACACATACTTAACTGAACATTCAGTATCAAACGAAGTGAGATGTTTCCTTACTGTGGTTCGCATTTTCAGAATGAGCTAATTTTGCTGTCAAACTAAGATGAAAGTAATATTCTCCATCTGAATCGACAATTTTTTAATTACTGTGCAAAACAAAACCAGACCGTTAACACCAGTGGTACCCACGTGTTGGTAACTCTACAAGTTGGACATCTTAGCTTTGGTAGATAAAATATTTTTAAGACAAAATCGTCCTCTTTTCTCTTGGGTAAGGGGTAGTGCTATAAAGTACTGTCCAAAGACGATCCTTTACTAGAGACAACAGAATGTAATCCAGCAGACATACGTCAAAAAAGTTGATGATACCCAAGAAAACTAGACTACGAGTAGTC